TCCTCTGCCGCCACCGATCCTCTCGGAGCTGACAAAATGGGGGCCCCATTTGAAGAAGAGTGGAGCTATCCAGCTGCAGTTGGGATGCTTCTTTATTGCGTCGAACACTCGCCCAGACATCAATTTAGTGTGCACCAGGTGGCACGATTCAGTCACAATCCCAGCATTCCCATGCTCAAGCAATCAAACGTATCATTCGGTATCTGATTGGCACAAGTGACAAAGCATTTGTTTTAGCCCTAAACTTGGTCAGGGACTTGACTGTTGGGTCGATGCTGACTTCGCCGGATTGTATGGATATGAGGATGAACAGGATCCTGTGTCCGTAAGTCTCGCACTGGATTTGTCCTGACTCTGTTTGGTGCCCTATTATTTGGTCCAGCAAGCTACAGATGATATTACTTTGAGCTCCACGCTGCTAGTATGTTGCCTTCAGATGTCAATGAGGGAGCTGCTTCTATGCGAGCTTTGCTCAAAGAAATTGGTAGCAAACTGAATATGCCGGTAATTACTGACAGTCTTGTGCGCTCTACAGTGTGTCGAAGAAACCAAGGTTGCCTGTCTCTTGTAATGTTCCCAAAATGTCTGCGCGCAACAAGTATTTGGCATTGAAGTACCCTTCTTCAGGTCCAATATCGGGGAGTCGAGGGCATCGTGGCTAAGTATATTTCCGACTCTGGAACAACGGCCGACATTTTCACTAAGGGTCTTCGGCTCCACAGTTTGCTTTGTCATTCGGAAGCTCCTCATGGGATGGTAATTTACCTCAGCACTTTGCTGGGGACTCTCTCCTATCGTTTCTTGCTCCAGCTTCATTTCAGCTGTAAGGGAGTGCGACGGGATACAGCTTAAAATACAAACTTTACATCTCTTAGATCCTTAGACTAGTCAATGCACAATGGTATTGTCGCAATCACGTCCAATCGACGCCACCTCCAAGAGCAGTTGTGCCAAAATGGACGCAAGTCTCGCCACAAGAGCCGAAGCAACAGCGGAACTCCCGTCTGGTTGGTCGAGCCCTCGGAAGCGTCGTTGCGAGTCGCTACGGAAGTGTCGTTTCCGAGACAAATGAACATCACGGAGGACGCCTGCAATTTTTTCTCGACCAAGGAGATCCCTGAAGACAGCGGAACCCTCTTGCTCACCAAGGACGAAAATTGTGGTTTCCACACTTCTGTCGTCTTCACTGGAGTCATGCCCGGCCTCTCTCGCCGGCATTCTCGTCGAGGTCAAGGAGCCATTATTCCACGCCTGGAAAGTCTGGCTCATCTCCCCATCCTGCCTTGTGTCGAGATCCCGAATGGACAGAAAGTTCATGTCCGGTGCTTTGTTCCTGGTTTTCAGGAACGTGAACTGTCAGATTCACCCTAATCCCGAGTCTGGTCCCAATGCAGTCGATAGATCCGAACGGAGCCAAAAAGAACGGCATCCTGGTCCGTTCGCAGCATCCAATCAACTACGTAGGGGAAAATGATTACTGTCGGATGGCTGGCCTAGTCTAGGTACAACAACGAGAGTCAAGGGGTTAAACTGATGCAAAAGATGGCAGGCCATTGAAAGATCGTGTGGTTGCAGTGTGTAGTAAAGCTAAGCATGGCGAATATTATCGTTAGAGCAGCAGCAATCGTGGAGCATTCAGGTACTGGTTCAACTGTGGCTTGGCTTCTACCGGTATACATAAAACCGCGCAAACATCATGCATCCGTCGTTCAAAGCAACAGCTGTACAGTATGGATACACCCCGACGACTTTGCCTCCTTGTTTGCCCGACTCGACTCCAATGGGCCTCCACCAACTTGCAACTTCAAGTCTCCCAATGAGTTCGGGGGGTTATTCTTGCACCACTCCCTTCTCACGTGCCATGGTCGTGGCCATGTGGGGCAGAGCTTCAAACCTGAGAGCACGCCTTAGCCCAAATCCAAGCCTGTTTAGCTGTCAAAAACTTCTCCTATTTAATTTTAACACCTTTTTATCTTCTTCAAAGGGTTCTCTGTTCACCATGTCGCCGTACTGTGTACCGGTACCACAGCTGTACGAGGTACCGGTACCGGTAGAGAACAGAGCAAACTCGAACGGCACCACAAGAAGGGTCAAGGCATCCGGCCAAATCAAGACCGAGCAAACCATCAACCCAGAAACCACGAAAACTCCGCTGATACAGAGCGAAGAAACATTCGCATTCTTCTGGATTGGCATTCGTTCGAGCAACTTGTTCTTTACTATGAACAGATTGATCGGCTCTGTGGTGAAGTTCTTGCTTGCCCCATCTTGGTGGGAGCAAGCAAATGGCAATGATCAGTTTGGCAGCAGTGTTTCAAGCGATGCATCCAAAGATCTTCCATTTGTGATTGGTGCTGGACTTTGTCGCACTGGAACTCATTCCCTACAAGCAGCATTGCTGGCCCTTGGTTACAAAAAGCCATATCACATGCGTGAACTCTTAGAACACCAAGTTCCAATGGATCCCTGGGTTGAGCTGGCTTTAAATGAACGAGAAACTGGCACAAAGAACAAAACATTGGCCCTCGTGACAGCACAATCTGTGATTGATCAAGGGTTCATGGCCACCACTGATGCTCCTTGCTGCTTGCTCTACCCAGAGTTCCTGGAGCTCACAGATGGCAAAGTTATTTTGACTGTCCGCTCGAGTGCAAGTGACTGGAGGAAATCTGTCCTTGATACAGTTGGGCGTCTCCCCCTTTCCTTCTTCAAGCATCCATTCACCTTTTACTCTTTCACCAGAAACTTTGCTGGGGTTTTGGATCCTTGGGTTTATGAACGAATTGGTGGCATCGCTGAATTAGGACAGATGGATGTTCCAAAGGAATCAGTGCATGATTATGAGGGAAAATTGGAATCTGCCTACACACAATGGATTGAAAATGTCAAAGCGCAGGTCCCCCCAGAAAAGCTCCTGGTCCACCATCCCAAGGATGGATATCCCCCACTCTGTGAATTTCTAGGAATCAAGGAGGAGGATTGCCCAAAGGAAGATTACCCCCATATTGCTGATACTGATACCATGCAACTCTTGATTCGAAGTTTTGAGGTTACAACAGAAGTCTTTTTTCCAGTGGTTGGATTAATGGTGCTGTTGCCAGTAATTTTCATTCGAAAATCCATTGGGGGCAAAAAGGGCGGAGCAAGCAATAGTAAAGGCATGAAGTCTGATTGATCGTTCCTCAGCTGTAGTTTGTGCGTGTACATGCAGTGTTAGCTTAGAATCGAATGTTCAACCCTCACAAGTCACATATCCATCGAGAACACCCCATACCTCTTTCGTTGGATCCCACAAATTTCCCTGATTCGATGGGGCTAGCTAGGAAGGCTTGGTTGTCAACGAGTTTCAAGGCTTGAACGCTTGAACTTTACCACCGCCTCGGATTGGTCAGGTCCTGTTGCCAATAGCGGTGAGGAGGCATTGGCCATGTTCGGAATGGGAGATGCTGGTATTGAGGATGTTGTGTATGCAGAAGGCATTATCATGATTGTGTCCTGGTGCTTGGCCTACGTGCCTACGTGGGTCTAACACTCACGCAGGAAACGTTGTACCGATGGAGCCCGTGGAACGCAATAAGTCGCTCGGCTGCAAGTAACCGAGACTTGACTCGTGGGGCCCACATACCGTATGGGCCCAACTACGGTACTCCAGCAGGGATGTGCAGTACATGATTTGCAATGAAAATCGCAGCTACGCTTCTGCCGTATGGACGTTGTACAGTGAACAGTTACGGAATGGAAACCTCAAACTACATGTACATTCTTAGATATCCTACTGTACATACTACGCACTGTTCCAACCTTTTTAGCCAGTTGATGGCTTCCCCCTCGTTGAGTATTCAAGGACATTTTCAGCTGGGGAAACTTTTGGGAGTCCAAAACCCAAGGCAACGAACACATTTCGCATCATCGTATCCAATAGTTCCACGGCAGCGCGGGCCAAAGAAAGGCCTACATCATCTTACACCGATCATCCGTCTTCGAGTCAACCGGCTTGAATGCTCGGAACTGGTGGACAAAGCTGTCAATCTCCTCGCGATCGAACTCCGTCAGTAGCACCCGTAGGATTTTGTCGCGGTCTTTGGGGTTAGATGCCTTTGCATCAAGGCAGCTGGTTGTGTTGTCCGAGAAATCATTCGGACCTGTCACAAATGCTTTGCCGGGCACCAAACCAAGCTTTTTTCCATGCAGGAGCTCACAGATGCACCAAATACGGCTGTAGAGGTCAATGGCGGAGTTGCGTACAATTACAAACATCTTTGCCTTGGAAAGAGCCTGGACAAAGGGTGAATCCTCCAGTGATTCAGTAGCTGTCCCAAGTTGCTTTTCGATCAGCTGCGCATCACCTTGCATTAAAGCGAACGCACATATCCAGAGTGTTGGCCGGACTAGGGTGGAATGGAAACAGAGACGAATAGACTGCCGAGAGGACGAAGAGGGATAAATAAGTGAGAAAGTGCGCATATTTTCTGCTGATACCAAGAAAACACTCTTACCTCCACGAAGTCAGCGAATTTTTCATCCCTGGATGTAAGTGCGTGAACAAAGAAGCATATTAGAGCAGATAAATGGTCACAGAGAGGGCCTACTTATCGCTAACCATACTTACCAGGCGTGAGTGATAAAGGCATCCACCAACAGCCCTTCCGGGTTCAAACTAAGGGCATACGATGTCCCCGTCTTTATACAATGTGGCTCGAGGATCTTTCGGTTCACGTCTCTCATGGTGGCTCGTTTGTATTTGAACTTACCAAATTTCAATTTGACATCCTCGGCCAATTGCAGGAGCTGCTCGTAGGTGATGCTCCACATTTCAGGCCGACTTCGAATATCCTCCGTTCGCTCTTGTAGATCTTTCGATTCTTCAATAGACGCTTCCCTCTGCAACCTCCATGCTTGCCCTCTCTCCAAACCATGTGCAATAGCGGATTCTTTGTCATCTGCTTTTTGAATCTGACCATCATTTGTAGAAGGTTGCGGTGGGTCGCTCTGCTTTGGATCCGCCATACTAGTAGGACGTAATGGATCCGTCTTTTTCGATTCTAAGTGTATATGAGACTCGATCTCTTTCTTCACCTCCTCCATGTCCTCTCGTCCGGAAAAGGCGAACAAAACCGCATCCTCTTCATCTTTAAAGGTAAGTTTCAACTTGGGCGCTGTGGTGTTGACTTGCAGCTTTTGAATTGCAGAGAAGGGAATCTGTTTGGGTTTGTTCCTGCTTTTTGTTTTGCCCTTTTTGTAGAATAAAAGACCGTCTTGTGACATGTCCAAACTCCCCTCCTTTCCTCCGACTGTCACGCTTTGGTAGAGTGCTTTTTCCGCCGCCGGCAGCGGTTGGTCGTCAAGCGCCGCCGAATGGGACGAAGTATCCGAAAAGGGTGACACCGGCGGCAAAGAAGAGCTCGACCGTAGGAAATCGTTGCTCATTCTCCTGGATGCGGATGGTGATACCGGTATGGTCGATGTCGTCGAGGAAAAGGACAGATCGAACGGGCTGGTGCTGTTGTGGCTGGATCGACGATCCAGATGGAACGGCAAACTGCCCGACAACGAGTCGTCTTGCAGAATACTGTTGCGCCGCATGTAGCCGCAAATGTCTTTTTCGACCTTGTACAAGTCGTCGTGACTCTCAAAGGCGAGAAGGATCTCTTTTTTCTTTTCGGTGCCCTTGCTCTTGGATACCTTGCGCAGAACCAGGCGCAACTTGTGCTCTGTTGAACTTGCACTACTGCCACAGGCGGCGTATTCCACAATTTTGTCCCACTTGCATTCTCGCAGATCCTCTGTCTCATCTCCTCCATTGGGTAAGAAAGCAAAACCTTTCCGATCCAGTTTCAAGTTGCCAACCGCACCGTCTTCGGAAAATTCAACGTTCTCGTACCTCTGAGGCATTGTTTCTTGTTTCTTGGTTCTTGCTAATGATTCGATTCGTCCCTGTACCTGGTACCGGTAGCTCCTTGGAGTGATAGTGTCAGTCTACTTCTTTTAAAGTTTTTAATGAGGTTGTACTGTATGTGTACACACTCTTCTCAAATTTGTAGTATGAACATAGTCTACATACACGGTGCTGCAGAGTATTGCCAGCACACCCGGTGCTTCACCAATCCAAGTATCGAACCACGACGTACACGTACCGGTAGACCAACTGCATTCTTCCCGGACTAACATCGTTACGACTGTACCAATCAGACTTGCCCTTGGAGTCGAGTCGAGTCATTATTAAAAAAAGAAGTTGAATGGTGGACCAAGCTATTTTATTGGTCTGTTCTCCAGCTAGCTAGCTAGCTAGCTAGCTACTAATAGTACATGTAGAGCACATGTCTGTACACTGGACCCAAAACAGGTAAATCTAAAATTGCCGTAGAAAATGTACTGAGCCTACCGGCACGCAAAAGAACCTGCAGATCTGCCGATAGCATACGTAGTATGATTCAGAATCGACACAAGTCAAGATAGCGGTGGTACTAGTAATTCAATTCGCCCTCAGTGTTGGCTGCGATGCTGCGATACAGGCCTCGAAACTTTTAATCTGCCTAGTATTGAAATAGTCTAGCTGGCTTATACTGTACGGTACGGTATGCAGAACAATGACCTCGGTTTGTCGGAGTCGAGTCAAGTCGGTCATGGGGAAACAGAAGACAACAGCTTCGTCCGTCCACGTACATGTAGGTGTAGTCTACTATTAATAGTATTGCAGTACCGCAGCTGTAGTAGGGAGCTTGTTCTTCGTCTTCTGCGCTGTGGATGTTGACTATTGCCGAAAGAGGCAGGAATTTCGAACTTTATCTTCCTCCTAAAAACGGTAACTTGCTGCCAGGATGGACAGCATTGTGAGGACTGTGGCTGACTATGCCCTCATTACCAAGCACTCCAAACGAAGCAGCAATCCGAATTGGCATCGAAATAGCAGCGGCACCAGCAGTAGAACCGATGCCTCCCCAGAGCTACCATTTGTGGTTGGTTCTGGCCTTGGCCGCACTGGGACTCATTCCCTACAGGCAGCTTTAGCAACTCTTGGCTACCACAGTCGATTCCACATGAGCGAAATAATGGGTCGTTATGTTTCTCCAGAACCCTGGTTTGAGCTTGCAAGAACGGAAAGGGCAGCTGGAGTAAAGAACAAGACATTGGCCTTGCAGGCAGCACAATCTGTGATTGATCAAGGATACAGGGCCACCACCGACTATCCTTGTTGCCTGCTCTACCCAGAGTTCCTAGAGCTCACAGATGGCAAAGTCATTTTATCAGTCCGTTCCAATGCAAGTGGTTGGAAGAAATCCATATTGGAAACACTTGCAGTTCTTCCACGTCCATTTTTCAAGCCACCATTTTCATTGATCTATCATACAAGGCAGTTTGCTGAAGTGTTAGATCCTTGGCTGTGGGAACGAATGGGTGGCATTGCGGAAATAGGGCAAATGGATTTTCCCAAGGAATCACTGCATGACTATGAACACAAACTTGAATCTGCGTATACACAATGGATTGAAACTGTCAAACAACAAGTCCCTGCTGAAAAGCTCCTTGTACATCATCCCCAGGACGGATACCCCCCACTCTGTGAATTTCTAGGAATCAAGGAGGAGAATTGCCCAAAGGAAGATTATCCTCATCTTGCCAACACTCTAGCATTGAAACGGGCAACAAGAGTACTTGAGATTGTGACGGAAACCTTTTGGCCAGTGGTGGGATTGCTTGTGCTCTTGATGGCATTTTTGATCGGACGATCTCTTCCATGCGGGCTTCGAAAAACGACGGATCTCAAAACCAAAAAGACGAGATAACATACTCACCTAACTCTTCTCAGTGAGCTACAAGGTGGCCGGAAACAGGCTGGGAAAGTGGTTTGAATGTGGCTGGTCAACAATGTGATGAACAATCGGCAGCAGCGAGCGAAGATTTTCATGCGTGATTTCGCACAATTATCACTTGCTTCGGCATGCAGCATCGTGCTGTTGTCTTGGCAAGCAGAGTCCCAAAGGGCAACCGGATCAGCAAAAAGTTGGTCTATCTGCCCTTTCTTGTTATGTTGCGTCTCCAGTTGTGTGGAAATACGATAGTTTTGAGCCGCAGTTGTGAGCCAAGTATCTGACGAGCAACCCTGCACTCCCCTTACTTGTCGTCTTTTTGTTTTGAAAAATGTGCTCGACACAAACTTTTTGCACTTTGGTGCACCGCTCCCTGCATTTCAGCACTCGTTCTACTAGTCGTTGGATGGTTTGCTTGTGTAGCCGACACTCACCGAGCGTACCATAGGTAGTCTACCGACGTATCCGCGGGTCAACAAGGTTGGTTACAAAACAGGCTTGCCAGGTGGCTGTGGTCGCCCTCGTGGTCAGCTCACGCGCGATACGTAGACGTAGGACCCACCCGGCCCATTGGTAATGGAAGCATGCGTCGGCCATGCCTTGGCACTGCAAATCTATGAAAGTGTACGTATACGAAGACTTTGCTGAAGCGCAGCGGCCATGCCGGTATCCCAGCAAGTATTGGAAGCTGCTAGCCTAGTAGAGAGCTTTTGTTACGCTGATGCTGACCACCGGAGTGGTCACAAAAACAGAACAGTCGGACCAGCTCTGGATAGAGGCCCAGCACGAGCCAAAGACAATTCCATCACCAGACGCAACTCCAGGACTCGACTCATTCCTGGACCAGGGCCTGATCCTGCCCCAGGTCAACCACAAGATCAGGAAGCACTTCAGGATCCACACCAGAACCAACCGAAGCCACACGCTGAGACCTGCTCCAGTAGCTGTACCTGGCTCTCTCCCAAGCCATCTCTTGAGCCCATCCGCACCACTTGATGTTAGTCAGTTGGTCATACGATATGTGCCAAACGAGGCAATCTAGCTACCGTAGCTATCTTATTATTAGTGCGACTTCTTGTGTGTGATAAAAGTAAGTTTCTGCTATTGGTATCATTATTTATTGCTTCAAAAATCTAGCGTTTCTTTGGTTTGCCTTGGTTTGGCTGGAGCGAGCAACCCGCACTGATTTCTTTAGTTCCGATCCATCCAGCTGATGTTGTCCCTTTTAAAGGGCAGATAGATGGATCCAGTGTCAAAAAGTTGCTGGCTCGCTGCCAAACCAAATCTCATGTATTCCTGTTCATACAAAATCGTTTCGTTTATTCAGTCAGTCCGTCATTCTCTGGTGGATGAGTGACTGGCTACTTGGGTGGTTCCGTTCTCACGTTGTGGTGGTGATGGTGTCGTAGGTAGGTAGGTAGGTATAGTAGGTATAAGCGCGTGCTGCGTTGCAAAAAGAAGAAGACTCCTCATCGAGTATAGGAGCGACCCAACATTTTGCCTCCAGATTTGCTGCGAAAGAGACCATCTCCTGCCGTGTCACATCGTGGTGGCTTGACTCCAATCACTCTTCTGGGTCGTCGAGGTGCCACTTCATCTTCACACGTACGACGGCATCGGCCGCAGTCATCATGGCCGTGTTTGCAGTGGTGGCGCACCGGCATCTTGTAACTGCCCGTGCTGCTTCTCATACTGCTGCTGTTGCTGCTGCTGCCGGACCCTGTTCGGGTGGCGGTTGTTCGTTGTGATCGGGTGCTGGAGACAATCGACGAGTCCGAGCTGTGAAGTTTCTGGCCCTGCTTCGTCTTGTTCATCTTGGCCAGCTTGGATGGTGGGATGAAACCACTGTTGTTGTCCAGGAAACTATCGGATGGTTGCACTTTGAGCTTCTTGAGCTTGTGCTTTTGTCTTCTGTTCTCGTCATCCACCACTTTCACAGACTCGTGCCCGACAATACTCATTCTTTGTGTCATATTGCTGCTATTAGTTACTAAAATAATGAGGAGGAATTGGATGAGGTATCTTCCTTATCCTTTGGGTATCTCTTCGAATTTGGAATTGTGAGCTGAGCGAGTTGAGTGGTGATCCGGTCTTTACCAGTTGTTGTGGTGGCATTTCTTGCGGTACAACCTGTGTTTCGAGAGCCGTGATGTGTTAACAGATTCTCTCTCGGTGATGTGCCAAAGGGACAGCACATCCTAAACCAACCACGAGCTGAGATTCAACTGTGAACTGGCAGTCCCTTGCTCAGTCGTCGTTGGTATAAAGCAAAGTGGGTATATAATAACACCGTTCAGATAATATATCCACTTCATAGTCGCAACACTGTTTCGTAGAGAGCACTGTTTCACCTCCCTTTATTATGAAACTGTTTTGAAGATACTTCATTCCATACCAATTTGGCCACTATTCGTGAATTTGCACAAAGAGAACTCAACGTCGATCAAGCATATTACAAGCGATTAGTCATGGTGTCGAACATTGCACAGAGCTTAATGAACTGCCTTTCCCCCAACATTCAAACACATAACTCGCACTTCTCTGATTTTGTCCAATTGCCACAGAACAGTCCTGCTGAGACTAAAGTTGTTTAACTCATGACTTTCCTTTATTTCGACATTAATTATGATAGCCAAAGGTTTCAGGCAAGCTTTATATCTTTTTGACAATACCATGTCCTTGCACGTAGCTGCCAGTTTACCTTGGTCACCTACAATGGCCTCAAGCTTTCTTTTGGCCTCGAATCCTCGAATGACGCGTAAAAACGCCACACTACTACCTGGTAGTAGCCAGCTAGAGACGCACTCCAAACTCCAAACGGCTCAGTAAGAAACTCGAGAAAGTAGACTCTAAGTCTTCGAGACAGACTTCTAAAGTGTGAAGTTAGGCTTACCTGTCTTCGTTCGTTATTTCACTTCGACACTATGCATCATAACTGCGACCACCACTGAAAGCAAAATTATATTGTTGAGCTCGAGTACATGTACTCGAGTATCAGTAGAACAATTGAACTGTTGGTCATTGTTTATCTGAGCTCGAGGGTGCTCCAGCCAGTGTTTAGCTTTAATAAGTTCATCCAGCTCATCTACATGTATCGTACTCAAGGTGGTACAACAAGTACTACTAGCCAGCTGGTACCGGTACAGCATCCAGTAGTACGATACCTTCTCCTCAGAGTACTAGCTAGTAAGAGTACAGTCGGTTGCTACAGTAGATCCTCTTGTCTGATGTAACATGTTTACAAGAACCATGTTTTCTTTTTTTGTAATCTGTGACTGATCTTGAATCACTGTACGTAAATGGAGAAGTAGATCTAACTGTAGAAATTTAGTACATCCTGACTGGTATGAATGTTGAGGCGTCATCGATCGAGAAAGATGGTGGGTGCGGAACTGGCATCCACTCCCACACCCAGTGGAAACCGAAGAGCATTGATGTGTGTTTCCACTGGAAAAGGGGATGGCACGGGTATCGTCATAGTAGTTGTTACCGGGCATGGGAAAGATGCTCAAAGTCGGCGTTTCTGTTGTCTCGAAGGCATGCTGCTTTGCTGTCAAAAGTTGCTACCTATCAAGCCGATGCGCTGCTCGGGGCTCCTCCTCACTTCTCCGTGCTGCTCTTTCTCGACGTACCAGTACCACCGGTACCATTACTTTAGTGAATCGACTCCCACTTCTCTTGTTTTCTAATAACAGCCTTGGTCATTGGGTGGCAAGCTCCCGTATCAATCTAATGCTACTGTAGGTACAAAAGGTTGGCTGCCCGCGACTTGCTCCTCCTCGCAACTTGTCCTTCGTACACTCTCTCGAGGCACTACAGCAATGACAGGCTGAGGAAGGACTCCACTCCCACGGTGATCACGTCTGTTTTAGTGTGGTCGCAGCGTTTTATGCTGGGTGACTCAGCCGTCGTCACTGGCTGGCTGGAAGCTGGTCAGAGAGTACTTAGTTGTGAGTAGGTTGGCTTTGATTTTGACCTAGAGATATGGCACCTGAGCGACAGGGAACGTTGGCCGCAACTGACCAGCGAAAACCAATGTTTCCAGAACAAACTCATCAGCTTGGACAGGGTGGTACCTCCAGAACAGACTTGAGAGCGACGTAGTAACATCTTCGCTATCATCTACATTGTACCGGTAGCTACTGTACTATTACCGGTATTCTCAAGTAACTTTGAAGTTGAGAACCATTTGTCAGGAATCCGAAAGGACCAAGGCCAGGCAGCGATACTACTTGTATTCGCTCAGCCTCGAGACTCGAGACCGATCCACTCTAAATGGAACTGCACACGGGGTTGATGCTCCGTCACTCAAACGCTACCAGTACACGCTACAGGTGTGAAAATGAAGCTTACCGTACATATTCAGTATTCATACATTGCCGATGACTGGACCCAGGCTTGGTTCCAGAGAGGCTTTCTCTGCTAGCAAACATTTTCGACGCCCGTTGATCTTCGCACGCAGCAAAGTGATCAGTGACTCTTGAACATGGCTCTGTCTTTCCACCGTGCTAACCAATCTTCTTCGCCGGGTTCAAATTTTGGCTGGGGGTCATCATACCACTCTGCTATCCGTGCATCTAGTTGCTCCTGGTCCCTAATATTCTTGGAAGGCCCAACCACTGAGTATCGGTATGCTTGGTAGTACTTCCTGCCCCTCTCATCTTCCACAATTTCCCTGTCGCGCATGCTATCCTTGAGCATTTGCTGTCGCTTGTGTTTGAGAAAAAGACGACCCCAGCCTTTTGTGAAATTGGCATTCTGAAAATTGGGACTTGCAATGTAGCTCTCAATGGCATCCACAAATTCTTGCTGACTGGTGGCATGTGTCAACTTGGGCATGAGAATTACTGGCATTCCCTCAAACAATTTTTGACTGAGGATATCTCGTTCCTCCACGATTGGAATGACACCAAGCAGGAGCATCTCATATGTTCTGTAACAGTCATATCCATTCCCTGGAGGACTAATGCCAAAGCGGAACTGGCTCATCTCGGAATAAGTTTTGTGGGTTGGTACGTTGATATCTGGATTGCACGAAACACCTTCCGTGACATTTGAGGTGCAGAGCGTGTTCCACAATTTCTTGCGATGTATTTCTCGACGCCTAAAGTGAACAAAGACATCTTTTGCAAAGTCCAGCTTATTGTTGTTGGACAGGTCCCACTTGGACTTGTCCAGAAAAGGGTTCATGAATTGGTTCAGCTTCATGTAGGGAAGTAGATTGCGTTCTTGCGGGTGCGAAATCGACAGTCCCAAGTTCCAAGGTTCAAATTTGGTGTGTGCATGTTTCTGAAATACTGGATGGTCTTTGTAGCGTGGATTGGTACCATACCACTTGATCAAGAGTGGATCCGAAATGTAGTGCTCATACGCTTCTGGCGAGTCGCCATCTGAGCCAGTGGTGGATATAATGTAGGGAACCTTGATCTTTGGCCGATATTCATGAAAGAAGCCAATAGACAGATCTCTGTGATTTTCAATCCCTATAATGGTTCCAGGTACAATGCAGGGAATCATGGCCTTGTCCAAAGTTTTGGCAAAGTAATCCATGTGGAATATCTCGTTGGCTGGTTTTCTGCCATATGGCAGCACTAGATCTGCCAAGTCAATGCCATCTCGAGTGTTGATGAGTTGATGTTCATCCTGGTCCAGTGAAATTGCCACTGTCTCTACGCAGCATGTTTCTTTGCACATCTTGCGTTGTGGCAACCATGGTGCTCGCTCCACAACTGCCGCTCGATGGAATGCACTCCAGCTAGTCTCTTCCCTGCCACCATACTCTGGCAGAGGATTTTCTTTGGCTGCTTTTTCAATTTCATCCTGCAGTTCCACATATTTTTGGTATTTGTACTGAGGCTTTGCTTCCTCTGTTTGGAATGGTAAACCAACATCCGGAAACGACTCAAAAGACTGTGGCAGGGCACTCTGCATCATTGCCACAAGCTCAGTGGTACTACTGCTTGCTTGTTGTAACAACTTTATTGTTGTCAAGGCTGGCAACAAGACGGCCAGAAACCGAACAATCACTTGCGTAAACAGCAGCCATGATGACGATTCTTGTTTGGATGCCGTTGCTGCTGCTCGGAGGCGTCTTACAACAAGAGGGAATAAGAACAAACGGTTAGAGTGATTCTTACGCCAGACTATGGCCGTCTAGAGCTGGTAGATCTATGCATAGCTAGAAGAAACGCAACAACACATACTTTCTCGCGAGGTTCCTTGCCATTGTTGCTCTCTGCGTTTGAGGGGAGAACTTTCAGGACTGATAAAGGTGTCAAGACGCAAATCTTCGCAATTTTCCGAAGTGGCCGATGCGAATTGAGTGACAGACAGTCATCGGACAGCCAAATTCAGCTTTTCAGTGCCAGTCCAAAATAAATGTCTCGGAATGGTTCGGTACAGTACATGCCAGAAGCCTGGAGAGCTGTTTGGAGATTGGAGAGCTCACTACCAATGGCACTTTCAGTGCTGGTGCATAATATTTAATTTTTTAATAAAGCTCGGATGATTGCTCTGACCAGGCCATTTTTGGGTATGATACTAGCTAGTACACCGTAGCCATCCCGGAGCAGTCTCCAGCATGGACTGTTGTTCCCAACCTTGCACCTTGCACAGCTCCTTGGTATTGTGAACTGCGTACCGTACGGTACCTGGTACCTGGTACTCCAGTACATGTAAGTGTGGCAATTCCCTAAATAATTCGCTGGATGTGCAAGAGAAGCCATCTGTTCGTATCTGGAATGTGTTCTGCAGTTCGCTCTTGGGGCAATGAAGGATATAAAGAAACCAAGACTTTAAGAGTTGCAGGTACTGTATTTAAAGCAACATCGGTTCTGTTTGGAAAGCTCAAAAGGTCCTTAGACGAGACTTTAAATAGTTCAGGGTTCATGGTTACCGGTACACAGGGCTTTGCTTATATCCCATTCTGCAGCCAGCGCACAAATAAACCCTGCTTACAAGAGTAGAAAGGCTCTTGAAAAAGTTCCAGTTTCCAACGTCGCTGCTCTATCCACTATCCAGCACCACCACCAGCCTTGCATACCACACCCGCACAGTACACGTAATACGACCACCATTGTCGTTCGCTTCTCAAACGAGAGGTTCACAAACGAAAGCAGCTTTTATCAAGTTGAGTATTAGTTCATACAGTAGCGCCACCATGCAATCTCCTGAACCTTCCTCGACTTCAACTGTAACGAGCAGCAGCCCTTTTGACGATGAGATTCTAGCCATGGAGGAGCAAGTCATCGATGCTAGAGGCATCAAGCCGCACAACGGCAATGGAGATCTGACTCCAGACGCGAAACCCAGTGGTAGTCGTGTGGGCGTCAAGCTGGGGCTGATGATGGACCGCCGTCCCTTTTATGGCCGCAAGCAGGAACTGGAGGAACTCAAAAAGCTGTACAGAGCATCGGTCGTGTGTCCTACGAGGACCTCTTGTTCGTGTCAACGAGCCGTGGTGATCAAGGGAGTCTCTGGAACGGGCAAGACGGCGTTGGTACAGCAGTTGGTCAAGCAGCTCACTGCTGCTGATGCATGCGATGAGAAGAGTGGTTTGGCGCCATTGGTACTGCAGGGCAAGTACGATGAAATGCTGCGACAAGAACCCTTTTCGGCCTTGGAACAAGCATTTGGAAACTTTTTCAGTGATCCACAAATGATGACGACTTCCAATACTGGTACATGTACCAACGGCAGCACTAGCAGCAGCCACGAAGAGTCGAGTACATCGAGTCATACCGATTCCGCCACCGATGATCAGTGGAAAGACATGATTCTGAAAGAGATTGGAGGGGAAACCGGTCTCAATGTCTTGAAGGACATCATTCCGGCGCTCAGCACTTGGTTCAATCTGCATCGACGCTACAGACTGGCCGAGCCCACGGTTCCTTCAGCGGAGGCACCACAGCGACCCAAGAGACGATCGTCTCGTCGTCAAGTCGCAAGCGCGCAAAAAGACGACAACAGTGATAGAGCACCAGAAAGCAACAACAACAACAACAACAACAACAACACTAGCAACAACACTAGCAGCAACAACAATAACAATGCCTTCAAGTCCAACCAACTGCACTATGTCTTTGGCAAGTTCTTTCATGCCTTGACCAAGACAACTGCCGCGCACTCGAGACCTCTTTTGCTCATACTCGATGACTTGAATTGGGCCGACGCGGCGTCTCTCGAACTCTTGACGTACTTGCTGTCGGCACCTTCGTTGCAAAAGTGCCCCTTCTTTCTCATTGGAACCTATCGGACCACCGAGACCGACAGGGAGGGATCTCGTCTCGACAAGCTACAACAGCAAAACCTCTTTCGGTCCATTACGCTACAGAATCACACGCGAGAAGAAATCACCGAATGGCTCAGTCGAGAACTCAAATGCAATTCCCTAGAATGCAACATGTTGACCTCGGCCATTTATGAAAAGACACACGGAAACTTTCTCTTTACTCTGCATTTGGTAGAAGAACTGCAACGACAGGGAGTCCTCCGGACACGACAGGAACGAAAAGGTCGACAACAGAGACAGTTTAGTTGTAGTTCTTCGGCCGAAAGCAGTGTCCTTTCGACCACCACTTGCAATTCCTGGGACGACAAGGACATTGTCCAGTTTGTCGAACAGAGTCGAACGCGTACCATGGTCGATTCTATTGCAGACAAGATACAACACCTGCCCAATCCGCAAGTCAAACAGGCTGTCATTCTGGCATCGTACTTGGGAACCAACTTTGATGTACCCACGTTGCATGCTCTGCACGAACAGGTTGCGTCACAAGAACAATGGGACAACAGCAACAGTCGCTATCACGAAGACGGCAACAACGACGAGGTAGAATCATCGACCACACGACCAACCGTGTCGTTGTCACAAGCCGATGTGATCAAGACCCTCGATGTGGCAGTCTTGGAGGGACTACTGTACAACGCCATGGGATCCTCCACCTACACGTTTGTGCACGACGGCGTCCGGGAAGCAGCGTACAACATGATACCGGCCGGACCGGAACGAGACCAATTACTATATCGCATGGGGCATTTCCTACGCGAGCAGTCCCTGTCGTCATCAACGACGACAGCAAACAACAACAATCAGAGCACGCTATTGTTTGTGGCCGCCAGACATTGGAGTTGCCTTGGTGCGACGACCAACCTGGTCGATCCCGTAGAGCTGGCTCAACTCTACCTCGACTGTGGTTCCAGGGCCAAAGCCATGAGTGCCTTTGAAGACGCCGCGCTGTATTTTGACCACGGGCTGAATGCCCTTTTAACGATTCAGGGCGTGGTGGATCTTTGGGCAGCTCACTACAACCTCACGTTACAGCTGTACAAATCGGCGGCGGAAATGGAATTGCTGGCGGGGAACGTGGAAAAGGGACTCGCACTGGGACGCGTCGTTCTCAAGAATGCCAAGACAGTCCTCGAGAAGATACCGACGTACAGTTCTATGGAAGCGGCAATGGGACAAAAAGATCGTCACGATGAAGCATTGGCACTCAACATGGATGCTTTGGCAGAGCTGGATTCTGTACCGTCGACGTTCATGGGGATTGGGGACTTTTTCACGGTGAAGAAGCTCATCAACAATACATCCGATGAGGAAATCCTGGCACTCCCCAAAATGGATGATCCACGTGAGCTGGCCATCACGGAGGCTCTCGGCAATACTTGTATGCGTAGCTTCTTGGTTGGGAAACCGCTCTTGATGATTGCCGTTACGCTCAGACAAGTCAAACGCACTCTAAAGGTTGGATTGAGTTCGCAAGCTCCCTTGTTGTTTGCAGGTTACGGGTGCGCACTGCTGCAAGGAATGGGGCACCCCAACACGGGTAGGCGGATGGGGCGGTTAGCGAAACAGATTGCAAGGATTCCTGGCTATAATGAACACGAATGCAAGACTCTCTACCTTCTTGGTTCTTTGATCGAGCTGTGGACAGAACCATATGACAATGTGATTGAAACATATGAGCGGGGATACGAACTTGGCATGACTTCTGGCTGCTATGATTATGGTTTTGCAAGCGAGCTAGATGCTTTGTTAGCGTCTTTTCTGGCTGGTAGGTCTCTGGACAGGATATCAGAGCGATTCCACAATCTCAAACAGCAAGTTGACCAATACAACCTGGAAGCCTTGAAGAAAGTCCTCAATCCCTTCGGGACATTACTGTTCTTCATGACGGGCCGTCGTCCTGGTGACGTTCACAGGCGCGCCAACGTCTTCCTGAATGGTTGGGGTAAATTGGAGGCGATCGAGGAGCTAAAACCGGACAGTTCCAACAAATTCACCTTGACTTGGGCCTACTTGGATCGCATGATCCTTGCGTTCTACCTGGGTAACTTGGATCTCGCGGAGAAATTGTGTAAGGTTTATCACAACCTTGGTCCCGACCAAACCTTCTTCTTTGGCTCGTTGGGTTCCTTCTTTTCGGCGCTACTCTATGCGAACTTGGCCCATAAATCTCGGGCATCCAAGCACAAGAATCTGGCGCACAAGTACACCAAAGAAATGAAAAAACTATTGGAGAAGGGATGCAACAAGCTTGGTACCTGGCACTCCATACTGAAAGCCGAGTGCATGAGTATCAGCAAGCCTCAGAAACAAAGTCTGGTTCAGCAGATGTATGATCAAGCCATTACGTCTGCCAGGGAAAGCAAATGTGTGAATGATCAAGCGTTGGCCAGCGAACTGGCCGGGGAGTACTTTCTGCGACAGAAGCGGCCTCATACAGCAAAGGGCTACTTAGTGCATGCATGTTCCTTCTACAGAGAATGGTACGTTCCACAACTGGCATCCGACCACTCGTCGAACCTGATGTGTTTCTGACAGTTGTTTGCTTTGTTTTGTTGCCTTGGCAGGGGAGCTCACGAAAAGGTTAACCAGCTGCTTCAAAAACACCAATCCACGCTGACGGTCGATGATCTTCCTCAGGTCGGAGCTGCGGACGATGTTCTTCGCTCTGAGTACTATCCAATTATCAGCTGTGTCGGTTCATCCGCAGGTGATGGTTCTGTGTGCGATGATTTGTCAGCATTGACTCCCATCCCTGAAAACAGAACGTTGTCAAACAATAGCAGATGGGAGAGCTGCGGCTCCGGCCACCAAAAGGACGCTGTTGCTGCCCCCCCTTTGCCGCCCAGCAGACGTGATGTTTGTTCGGACAAGGCTCCTTGCAAACCTCCTAGCAGACGTGAGGTACGGCAAGATGCTGTGATGGATACACCACCTTCAAAGCCACCAAGCAGACATGAAACGCGCCCAGATGTTGTGATTGACACTGCCCAACGCATAGCAGCTGTTGCGGTTGCATAGTAACGGATTAGTCTATTAATAGTCAAGTTTGCTGTGTACTGTTAGTCATTGCGTCTCAGTAGTTAAGCCAAAACCAGCCTAGAGCTTGGGATACCATTCGCTGCACGAACCCTTTGATTATTGTGGGATTTGACTTTTCTTCTCCCAATCTTGCAGCCACTTGATTTCGTCCCCTGTCAGTGTGGGAAGAGGGCTTTCAAACCAATCCTTTATAGCATCATCATCATGGACCTCACATCCATATTTGCAATCTTCAGGTTGAAGATGGCTGTGATTGCTGCCAATCACAGTGTATTGGTAGGCTTGGTAGTACTGCATGCCATGCTGGTCAACAAGCACTTCTTTTTCTCTCTGACTAACCTGCAGCAATTCTTGTCGTCTGGATTTCAAAAACAAACGTTCCCAACCCCTCTCAAAGGTTGCATTCTGAAATGAATCACTTGCAATGTAGTTCTGAATGGCATCCACAAAGTCTTGCTTACTGGATGCACTGGCCAAGTCTTCCATTTGAATCACAGGCAGACCCTCAAATAGGTCTTTGGTCCAAGTTTTCTCCACGATTGGGATGACACCCAGCAAAAGCATCTCATATGTTCGATAGCAGTCATAGCCCACTCCTGTTGGACTGATGCCAAATCGATACTGACTCATGCCAGAATACAACTTGTGAACTTCAAGGCCATTGGTGTCAGCATTACAAGAGCTTCCAGTTGTAGTTGTATTTGGGCACAGCAGGTTCCAAAGCTGCTTTCTGTGGGGCCTATTAAGTCCAAAATGAACAAACACATCTGTTTCAAAGTTGAATTCCTCCCTGGAGAAATCCCATTTTCTCTTGTCCAAGAAAGGATTAGTGAAGTTGTTGAGCTGCAAATACGGTAGAAGATGCCTTTCTTGTGGGTGCTGATACGACAGGCCCAGGTTAAGTGATCGGAATTTATGAAGGTTTTGTTGGAAGAGAGGATGTGACCTGTTGATTGGGTTTGTTCCATACCACTGGATCAAGAGAGGGTCTGCAATGTAATGATCATAGACTTCAGGGGAGTCTCCATCAGATCCTGTTGTAAAGAGTATAAATGGCACTTGTATGTGCTGTCGAAGCTTGTGCCAAAAGTAGATTGTTTGCTCCCGATGATTTTCCAAAGTGATAATTGTCCCTGGCACTAGACAGGGCAGCATGGCTGCATGCAATGTTTGACCATGGTATTTCATATGTTCTGGCTCTAATTCTCCATGTGGCAAGATGAGATCAGCCAACTCAATGCCATCCCTTGTCTGTATGATTTGATGTTCATCTTGCTCCAATGAAATTGCCACAGATTCTACACAACATGTTTCTTTGCACATCTTGCGGGATGGCATCCAAGGGGCCTGCTTGACTACCTGTGCTCTGCTGTAGGCTGAGTATGCATTGTGACGGCGAAGACCACCTTTTCTGCTTGGCTCTCCTCTTGGATCTGGCTCCGCTGCGATGCTTTCTACCAAATCTTGCAGTTCGTGGTAGGGGTGGAAATTAGATTTAGTTGCTTTTGTTCTTGCTGTCTCATCCAAGCCCAATTGCCGTATGGTGTGGCGGATATTAGAAACATCAATGGCCTTGTACGCAGTGTCTTGATGCACCAACGCCATCAATGCCAATCCCGGTACAAGAAGCGGTGCAGCTCGAATGACAAGTCGGATACAAGATCTCATCACCATGTCCAACAGCTCAACGAAAGATGCTTTAGATCCTTGAAAGATGGTTTTGTCTGCTTGGCTAGCTAGCTAGCTAGTTGCTACAATGGAAGATTTGCTGCCTTCAACGTATTCGAACAACATCGTGGTTGGAACAAGAGATTGGGAAAATTTGCCCTTCAACGTTCCGGCGTGTTTTTTTCGAGCGTGGAAACTCGCCCGTGCGCGATTGACTGCCTTGATCCCGTCGAAGCGACCTCCTTCGTCCTTGCCCGTCGACCCATCGCGAGTTTCGAGGACGACGACAACGCATTGCTTGCGAGACAAAGAGCGACGGTCTGACTTAATCTCTAATGCCAGCCAGCTAGCTAGAGCAGGAGTATCCGCAATGCACTTGTGTCGCTCTCCTGGCGTTTGCATGTTGGCTGATTTAGCTGCTCAGGTTGGGAAGAGTACATATTATGTGCAAGTGAGATACTCGTAGACGTAAAGCGAACGTTCGGCTTTGATATTCGCCACACCTGCATGTCACAGTATGATAGAAGATGCGAGGAGTCAAAGGAAGGAGACCAAAAGCGCGATGGGCGAAGGCTGAAATTGCTTTCTCTTCAATTATTTTAAGTTAGCTACGTAGCTATACAGGGCTGGCGAGGCAAGCTACCACTACTAGCTAAAAGTAAGTAGTACAAGATTCTTTCTCTGAATAGTCATTTTACGAAGTACTTGCCTCTCCAACCATCCTGGTATTTAGCTTTGTCGCGGTGTTTGTTGCCTGATGCGGTGAGAGCTTGCAGCTCGTTCGGTGCCGGATTGAACCTTTAGCTATCGGTAGCTAGCCAGCTGGAGAGAAGCCAAGAACAAAATTTTGTTTTCCAAGTCTTGTAAGCTCCCGACAGGACGAAACATCGAACAAGCACTGCATAAAACAGCTCCCTTCCTAGCTAGCTAGTTGGTAGCCATATCATTGTTCCTTTGGGGTACAACAGCCAAAGCACTATTGCTATTGGGACGGCACATCCTGTCCACTCCCAATATCTGAACACTCGTTTTCAATGCAATGCGCTCAAGAATAAGGCTGGGCATTCGAGCGAGGTTAGCGCTGGTACTGTTGTTGATTTCATTGATATCGTCGGCGCGTCGAAAGATCCTGCACACAATCAATGTCCGTGACACCATTCTACCATGGGACAAGACCAGGCGTCAAAGGGTTTTCCGTGCATATCATGAACTGAAAGGGCTTGTTCAGATCAAGGCAGAAGAACCAGATCAACTAGGAGAGCTAAGCAGAAAGGGGAACTTTCGCCATCGCCGTGATGCATACTCTGCATTCAGTAGGGCTCAGGTAGTCAAACAGGCTCCTTGGCTGCCATCAAGAAAGATGTGCAAGGAAACCTGCTGTGTTGAATCGGTAGCAATTTCATTGGAGCAAGATGAACATCAAATCATCCAACAACGTGATGGTGTTGATTTGGCAGATCTAGTGCTACCACACAGAAGGCTGAAACCAGAGCACCTGAAATACCATGGTCAAACATTGCATCCGGCCATGCTTCCTTGCTTGGTGCCAGGGACCATAATCACCTTGGAAAATCACAGGAAACAGACAATCTACTTTTGGCACAAGCTTCGACAGCACATACAAGTGCCCTACATACTTTTGACAACAGGGTCTGATAATGACTCACCTGAATGCTACGAACAATACATTGCAGACCCGCTGTTGATTCGGTGGTATGGAACCAACCCCATCAACAGATCACATCCTCTGTTCCAACAGAATCTTCACAAATTCAAATCACTCAACCTTGGCCTATCATTCCAGCGCCCACAAGAGAGGCATCTGCTTCCATATTTACAGCTCAACAACTTCACTAATCCTTTCCTGAATAAGAGAAAATGGGATTTCTCCAGGAAGGATTTCAGCTTCAAAGACGATATGTTTGTTCAGTTTGGACTTCATACACCACACAGAAAGCAGCTTTGGAACTTGCTGTGCCCAAACACGACCACGACAAGTAGCTCCTGCAATACCAACACTGTTAGTCTCGAAGTTCACCAATTGTATTCTGACATGAGTCAATATCGATTCGGCATCAGCCCCCCAGGGCATGGGTATGACTGCTACCGTACATATGAGATGCTGTTGCTGGGTGTCATCCCAATCGTGGAGAAATCTTCGACCAAGGACCTATTTGAGGATCTGCCTGTGATTCAAATGGAAGACTTGGCCAGTGTGTCCAGTAGGCAAGACTTTGTGGATGCCATTCAGAACTACATTGCAAGCGATGCATTTCAGAATGCAAACTTCCAAAGAGGCTGGGAGCGGTTGTTTTTGAAGTCCAGGCGACAAGAATTGCTGCAGGTTAGTCAGAGAGAAAAAGAGGTGCTTGTGGACCAGCATGGCATGCGGTATTACCAAGCCTACCAATACACTGTACTTGGCAACAATCACGGGCATCTTCAGCAACTTGAAGACTGTGAATATGGTTGCAATGTTGAGGATGAAGATGCAATCACAGATTGGGTTGATACACCCTTGCCAAAACTGACAGAGGATGAAATCAATTGGCTGCAAGATTGGGAGCGAAGCAGCCAGCTTCCGCAGTTCCAGTTTCTTCAATCCATGTACTGAACCTCTTTTGCAAGACCTGAAACAAAAGAGGACGAAATGATATGGCTGGCAGATTGAGAGCGAAGCAGACAACTAGCAAACTCCCACAAAGGCACATCTACATGAATCAAGCAATCTATATCTTAACCGAACATTGATCTTTGGTACTAGTATATGTAATAGGCAGGGTTGTGCTTAGCCAGCACTAGCTAACTCTTCCCTTATCCTCACTCCTCCAAAGCAAGCATTGAATGCCCGGACCGATGCCTAATAATAGCTTCTATTGCATGGGAGCATTGACCATCCCTTACCGGGCCCAATCAAGCAATCTAGCCCAGCAGGGGTACTATCTAGCTTCCACCAACCTACTGTAAACGAGCCAGGAGATGAAAATAGAAATAGAGCGTGGGCGGTTATCCGATAGCGGTCCTGGCTTTGTATGACTCCCGCCGATCAGCAACATGGCGCATCCTTGCTGTCATACCCGAGCGAAGACCCCATGTACCTAACTAGCTAGCCATACCGGTAGAGGCACAGCTAAGTTAGCCGCAGTGAACCAGTCTGGGGCAAGCAAGCTACCTGGTAGTTTTGCCTGGTGGCCATTGGTGATGGTGTTGGCTACTTTTGTGGGTGGAGTGAATCTTCGGTGAATCTGGTGGGGATGAAGTTGGTCCGAGTTCCCACTTGCTTTGCACGGTACGCCGTACGGTACCGTACGTAGTACGGTATCTTACCGGTACGCACCACCCAAATCCCACCGCGCGAAATAAGCGTCCGAGTGAAGTATCATAAGTGTGGAGAGCAACCGCCCTGTGAAATTTGAGGAGAGCGTGCACACATGCGCGTCACCCTAAATAAGTAATCCGTCCTTGCCAATGTGACACTCTATTTAGGGGCCAAATTTGTCGACACTCCGCGAGAATTAGGGCAGTTGAGTCGCAGGACCCGTGTCTGATTTTTGACCGGATGCTCAAGCCGATCCATCTTGGCATCTCACAAAACGCCAGTTCAACAAGACAAGATTTTCGAAGCTTTTCGATCTCGATGGCCGGCATGCAACAATAGTAATAGCAGCGGGAACTATTAGTGCATAGGTGTTGGAGTGGTATCGCTTGTTGTTCTGGTTTGTGTGCAGGAGGAGAGAAAGACTACCCTTCGAGCTGCATTCAATCGTCATAGAATCAACAACACAACCATAAATCAACAATACAAACATCAACAATGTGCCGAAGTACCACTGCCACAGTCCCACGCCGCATGGGGCAGCCATCACCATCATCCAAGAAGCGACCGCGTCAAGTACAGTTTGCCAAGAAGGTAGCGCAAGTCCACGTTGTGGAAAACATTGCCACCCCGTACAGTCAACGATGGCTCTGGTACAACAAGCAAGAGCTCCAACGCGCCCAGTTCATGGACCTGCGACGCAACATGGTCGCACCCGACTTGGTCGATACTCCACACGGCGCACCCGATTTGACGTGGCGTGGATTGGAGCAACACAAACCCAAGCAACGCAAACTGCTCGGGCCACGAGAGCATGTGCGTGCCGTGTTGGACGTGTACCGCAATCAACGATACTCACAGGGAACCTGGGTGCCGGAGGATTTGCGCAATCTCTCCGAGGCGCTTTCGTGCGATCATCGATTGGAAGCAATGCAACGTGCCTGGCATGATCAGAAGATGGCGACAAGTAGAAACAACAACAAGGGAACAGCAACGAACAAGAGCCTGGTGCGCTCTGCCAGTGGACGACGACGCAGCAGTGGCACCAGCTTTGGAATGCATCGGGCGATTCAACGAGTGCCCATGGTGGAGACCTTTCTTTGGTTGATGAGAGTTGTCACATTCTTTCTGCTTTGTGGACTCTTGTTTGCCACTCACCACTAGAAAAAGAACCCATACGAGTGGTCTTTTTCAATCTTTCAAGTAAATCATGTAGAACACAGAGTCTGTTGAAATGAGGACCGCGTGTTTATAAATTAAAAGAGGATACATGTATTGGAACAAAGCTGTCTGTCAGTAGCTGTCCAATAGTTTGGGAACTAGCACTCGTTCTTGCGCCAACTACTTCCTGGTATGGCTTTGATGTTGACCCTTGATGCACCAGTTCCTACAGTGGGATAGCACAGCTACTGTATGGGCTGAGTGTCAGTCGAGTCTGAGCTCAGACTTTCTTAAGTTTCCTCTTCGCTCCTGATGACTCACTCTGAGTTATTCAAGTTTTTTTGATCAGCAGAGGTGCTCGCGACCCTGAAGTCAATCCCAGTAGATTGTCAGACTGTAGAGTAGAGATAATTGATCTTTTGGTTTGCCCTTGCCATTGCTGGCTGTTGTTGTTTACATTTTGGATCCGTCAAGACGACATGGTGGCCATGTTGTTGGAAGAGCTTCTTGTCTTGTTCTGCTTCTTGTTGGATGGAGGTTGACAAAACACATTGCGACAGACTGGGCAATTGCAATTGGGTAGTTTGGCCAGCCATGCAACGATGCACTGCTGATGAAAAGCATGCGGGCATGACATCTTTGGTTTGGTGCTGCTGATTGGTGATGATGCATGACGATTGTTAGTAGGTGACCAAGAAACAAGATCATTGACTCTATATCGCTTCAAACAAATGATGCAGGTGGCTGGAACTGCTCCTTCAACTGGACTCCTACTACTACATGCACCCGTAGATGATGATGTCATCATTGGAAGCTTCAAGGTCCAGAGCACCTCATCATCTCCACTGTCTTCACTACTTTTCCAAGAAGAGCAAGATAGGTCGTGAGACTGGAACAAGTGCTCTATTTCCCCATTCTCAAGGTCAGCGTCATCTTCAGAATGATTGAAAGCTATCATGGATTTCCCATTCGTGGTGGAGAGTCTCTCTGCCTTTTTGTCCACCAAATCATCCGAAATACAGTCTTCTCCTCCTCTTTGACCATTGTTGTCACCACTGTCTTTTTTCCCTTCTTTTTCTTCTTCTGCTTGCTGTGGAGTATTGCCATGATGATGATAGATCAAATCCTTGGTCCCCACAATCATGGTGGTGGCTTTGAGAATGTGAGTCAACTCGAGTCTTCTCGTGGCTTGTTTCGCTGGCGAGAATTGTTCCAACCGTTCTTGTCGTTGTCGTCGGAGGATGCGTCTTCGTCGTTGCTGTTCGCTTCGTAGGTAACACAGCGTGAACAGGACCACAGCGCACCAAACCACAATGACACTGATATCCAGGAGCTTTTCTTTTTTGGATACTGCAGGCAAGTGACCTTGTTGTGCGGAAGACGATGGATCGTCGACCAATGCTTCGGTCTTGTTGCGGTCTTGTGCCACCGTAGAAGCAAACAAGACAAAGTCATCGTCGTCGCGATCTTTGTTGTTCTTGGAGGAAATCAATAATCGTCGCCTTCTCAGCGAGAAGAAGGAAGAGGCACCTTCCACCATTTTGATGTCGTTGCGTCGGCTCAAACTATGATTGCTACCTAGCTAGCTACTAGCTAGGTAGGTAGTCTCTGGGCTTCTTCTGAGGCTTCTCAGAACAAGGTTGCCAATCGGAACAAATGACACCAAACAAAGCCAAAACAGAAGCCAACAAGCGGTGATGTCACCAAAACGAGAAACGGCAAAATACTGGACTTTGATGAAATATCTTTCAGAAATGAATCAAATATCTTTCACGAACGGCTCTGTCTCACGCGGAACACGTGTTGCACCGTATCGTACGTGTTGAGTTTTTTAGTGGTTGGTGCCTCCTCCAATGCCTCCATGGCTGGCCACAACAGCCAGTAATGAAGATGAAGATGAAGAAGAAGAAGGTAATAATGGCTCCAGGTGTGGATGTCATTGTGTCCATTGTGGAAGCACTGCCCACAGTAGGTCTTGCCTGCGTGTTGGCTCGCACTTCCAGAGATGCCATATTGTTTACCACCGTCTTTTGGATGCCATTGTTTGCACTGCCGTGGATCAAACAGAGAAAACCCTTGGCGGCGGCAGGTGTGAATGCAGTGGGGTTACTGATAGTGGTTTGGCAAATACAAGATCAACAAGTGTTGCGTCCCTTTGCCACTGCCATTTCCTTGTTTGCCATTATCAAGGCATATGACTTTGCCATTCACTTTCCCGATATGGATGCTGCCAGACACTATGCCGGGACTGTTTTCTTCCTTAACATTACACAACGCAAACATGTGCCAAGCATTGCCGATTGCTTTCCCATGGAAACCATGCTGGATTTGGTTGTGACTGGTTTGGTAATAGTGACGAGTGTCATTGGGATTTATCTGTGTCAAGAATGTCAGTCGCCGGAATACCCCATGGTGGGTCTACAGCTACCCAGCAATTGGTTGGACTGGAGTATTATGCACATTCGATGCGGTCTGATTGGCATTGCCTTTGGTTACACACTCAATTTGCTCAAGTTTGTCTATCAACTCTGGTATGCTCCCTTTAGAATTGTGCACACAGAAGACGTCATGAACCATCCACTGTTGGCTACCAGCCTCATGGAATTTTGGAGCTACAGATGGAATCGACTTATTCATGGATTCTTAAAGCGCAACATATACCTTCCTCTCTGCAAACAGCCATATTGTAATGAGGCTACAGCCACAATGATGACCTTTGCATTTGCTGGCGTTTTTCATGTGCTGCTGTTGGAGGCAGGTACCAAAGGATCTGTTGCCGCCGATCTGGGTTGTATGGCATTCTTTCTTTGTCAAGCACCCTTGATGTTTCTTGAGACAAAGCTCTTTACCAAACGCAAACAATCTGCTTCTACTTCTACTCCTACAACTCCTGGGCTTCTTCTTGCCAATCGTCTCTTTGTCTTTGTGTCCTTGTTGGCCACGGCACCTCTCCTGATTGAACCATGCTTGCGATCACCTGATGTGAAGGCATAACTTGTTACATTGGTCATGGAATCTACACATAAACAAGGTGGGAGCAACGAATACTGTCATGGTCTTGTCACTCCCCAAATTATGTTTACTGCCAACACCAATTTCCCGACGGAAGGAATTGTCGCGGCTGACAACGACAACGAAAACGACTCTCCGAAAGGACTAGTTGATGCATCCAGCAAACTAATCCACGAGGACGACCGAATGTGTGAATACTTGCTTGCCTCGGGAGGACAATCCGTCTTGATTATGGCAATCACAAAGCGGAGTGACATCAAGGAAATCCACGGAAAACTGACCTCCTGCATGGCTTCATGTTGCCGTCGGGCACAAAAGAACAGCAAGAATGATATCCTGGCTTCCCTTTCAAGCGAAGGGATGGCTCATGGCTGAAAACGAAAGAAAGGGGGAATGGGGAGCACGATGATGAAGAGGAAATAGATAGTACCAGCAGCAACAACCATCCTCCGGAGTCACCGAAAGAAGTGTTCATTCCATTGTTTGCCTTGGAAGCCAGCCCTGGTCCTGGTTGGCTCGTGTGGAGGAGTGTTAGAGGCATCGAATGCGGTCGGATGACAACTGGGAACACCACGCAAGATGCCTTCGTACCGTCTCCGTAGCTAGGATAAAGTACTTTGCAATGATGACGAGAATGGATTTGTCCGTGTACGCTAGATTTGGATTGCGTCATGCCCTTCCATGGCTAGTAGCTCCTGGCATCTCGGGCTATTACAGAGAGTGCATGGCAACTTCTTCCTGACCTCCGATACAACGCTTGGCACTTGGTAGTGGCACTTCGCGGAGGGCACAGTCTGGCCTTTACAAAAGAGCAATAAATGTTGGTCAAGCAAGCTGTGCACAGCTAGAGCTAGAGCCAGCCTTCACCCTTTTCAGCATGCCAACAAGTGTCAACCTACACAAATCGATTGATTCGATTCGATTGATTCGATTCGAATCTACCGTACGGTACGGTATACCGTAAGTCGAAACACACGCGCTTCTGCCCAACACACAGGTCGGCGGCAAGAAGCCGGAAACCGGTGAACCTCATCAGGTGCGTAGGTCCAATAGAAGAACGCTTCCCTTGAAGGATGTCAAAATTAATGCTTGAAGAGTCACCTACATTGTCTAGAAAGATTGCCGGGGGAGGAAAGGAAAGGTGGAGAATATTACAATAGCCTATGCATAACTGATGCTGTGAGTGCAAAGAATGGGCCTACTCGCTCCAAAAAGCTCTCCAACAGGACATCCTAGCCCCAGCATGATTAGCTTGGCAAATTTATTTAGAACGTTGCTTAGTCTACCTCCCACTATTGGATATCTTTGTTTTCACTTTGGTTGCTGTCGAGGCGAGCGGCATTCGATACCAAGATGAATTCATGTACCTCGCTCACCTGAATACACTGGTGCGGCCGCAAGATCAACATGACGCCGCCTGAAGAATTCATTCCGTCTGCATGGTTGGTGGGCAGGTTGGTGTTAAACACCCGAGAGCCTAAAGGCACTTCAAGCAGGGGTACCGGTAGCCCAACGACACGAACAGCGCTACGGGTGCACAACAAGGCTAAAATGGGCGAACTGTTGAACATACAGTTGGGTAGAGACATACATGGGCTCGCTTCTTGTGGAGCTTGATGGAACAAGTTTTGACGCCATGCCACTGAGCACAATTTCAATGTCGCGATCAAGCCCGGAGATTGCTCCAGAGGAAGATGTCATTCTTCTTCAGGTAGCGTTACCTAGCAAAACCAAATCCCTTGTCAACCAAGACAATGGAACAGCCAGCAGTGGCATCTAGCCAGGCATCAATTTTGAAGTTTGCATCACACACAGCCATTTCGATGCAAACAAGCTACAGATGCTCTAACGGGATGCCAAAAGCTGGCTAATCGGCGAGACCTCCTGTCATGAGGGAGTTTCTGATCTTACAATAGGATTGCCTGATGCTCTTTGGCCTTGGAAGGCATCGAAGCAAAACGGTAGTATACTAGTACTGTACGAGCAGTGGAACAGCACACAGCTTGCCCTGTTGCAATGTTGGTGCAGGCACGTGGACTGAACATATTTAATATTAGCGGTACGAAGTATGAGCTGTCATGGGAACAATAGCGATACTGGTACACTGCACCGTATCCCAAAGCCTTTTTGTTTATTTTCTTACTGGAGCAATCTCTCGTACCGGTACGGTACTGTACACGTGTAGCGATTCTTGCACGTCCTCTGGCTTCTCTCATAAGGTGTTGTGTTGTGGTCCTCCCCTCTTTCGCCACGTCACAAAGTGTGCAGTGCGGTGTGACGAATTATTAAAAGATTGCAGCAGCATCGAACCTCCCCAAGGGTTGCCCAAAACTTGTGCTCTTTGTTGGAAGCCAATCAATCAACATTATCGCCTCTAGGTAGCTAGTAGCTAGATACAACAGTCTACCAAAGACAGCAGTCCGCCAAAGATGAGCAGCCACCATCAACAAGTAGCTGTCTTCGAGTTCACTTCCTGAGCCAGGTTTGCCAATCTGGTTGATACCAAGCCGAACCCGAGCCGGAAACTCTGGAGGAGAAGCCCCTGAACATCACATTGGAAGGAGGCATTGATTCGTCAGATGCTGCAATGGGTGTGGGACAATAGAAAATGCTTGCTGAATTGCTTCGACTTACTTACTTGTTATTGCCCCCCATTATAGTAATGGTATTGTTGCTACCATGACTCTCATGGCTGCGATCAGATTTGTCGTCATCCGAGGAGAAGGCTTCCGCGGACAACTCTGCGGCAGTTGGTATTGTCATTCGAATGCGCTCAAGAGGAAGAACACCCATGTTAATGTTCAAGTTGCTAAGTTGGTTCACGTTGCACAAAAAGTCTGGCATGACGAGGTCTTCTTGGGGAAGAAGTTGCGCCGCGACATTAACTTGTGGATGTTGTACATAGGTGCTTGTTTGGAGCATCCCGAGATCAGATGGAGGTTCAGGTTGCGACTGTGGCAGTGGGAGTGAGAGCGTTGGCAACCCTGGAAATGGTTGTTGAGGGGGTTGCTGATTTGGGAAAAAGCTGCTCGTGTCCATACCAACTGCTGTTGGAGACCCCATTATCAGTGGGTTGAAAGGGTTTGCATTGCTCACTGGAGTCGCAGGAAGGCCTGTAGACGGGGCATCTGGAGAAAAGCACAAATTAGTTAGAAGTTTCATTGAAGTGTGGGATGGGCAGCCTGAAAACTTGACGGAACTGTCTCGGCAATCCTTGCTGAAAGCTTGGACTTACCATCGTTTCCAGTTGACCTTGACCTCTTTAGTGGACTTAATTTTGTTTCCCTCGATTTGTACACTGATGCGTAACTTTCATCACTCCTTTGTCTCTTATGCTGGGAGCTTTGGGGTGCTTGAGGAGTCCACTCTGCCAAAGACTTGGCCGCCCGTTTCCTTGCAAGATCATCTCCCACGTCGTACCAGACAACATCCCCATTGCTGAGCTTCTTCTTGGCCACAAAACGGCCAATGGGGTCTTGGTTTCTCCATGTATTGACGACTTCATCAATGACTCTATTCTTCTCTTTGCGGGATCCCAACCGGAATCGCTCCTTGTACTGCTGCACCATGTGGCGGAACGCAATGTTCCCGCTGCGGGTGGAGGAAGAAGAAGACGTGGTTTAAGGTTGTGAGAAGTGGTAAACGATGGAAGCAACGGAAATCTGTGGGCCTTGAGCATCATCATACCTGTGGTAGTTTGACTCTCCACCCCGCCCGAGCATGACTATATGAAACGCATGACGCATATACCGAGTTAGGTTAAGGCCCTTCTCAGCAACAAGCAACATGCTTGGCAGAGTGAGCACAGAAACAGCAGGTCCGTCGCCTTACCATCATGCTTTCCTGGATACTTGATTACCGACGCCATTTTCGTGTAATGCCTTTTATATGTTTGATATGTTGTATTGGTGCTTCTTCGTCTTTTTTCTTCGAGGCTACGATGTGGTATGGCCATCTACTAGCTAGCTAGTTGCAGCTGTCTCCTGGCTTCCTTTTTTGTGGGATGGAATGGTGAACGGTACGGTGGTGGGATCGATCGCTTCGTTGCTTTGGGAACCGAAGAAGTGTGTATGATCCATGACGAACTTGAGTGCCACAGTGGAACAGCAGTAAAATGCATCCGCACCACTTTTTTATTTTAAAACTTTACTGGGACAGTCAGGTCTGACTTAGATCTAGTGCTCAAGTGCATTCTTTATACGAGATGTCTCAGTGTTCTGTGTTCTTCGACTCCTAGAAACCACTTTCAGCCACAGCCCTTCGTCGTTGAAGATCACTTACTAAAATTAATCTTGTCCGCTATGTCTGCGACAGAAAGGTGTGCTGTCTAGACTATAAGCAAGCTGAAGGCACAATTACAATCTGAAGACTACTGATAAATTGAGCGAACAACGTGGATGTCATAATTGATGTGGTGTAGAAGCACTGCAGGCGTGCCGATCTGCGGGCACCTCTGACCCTTGAGCCTGAGTATCGCTTCTAAATAGTCCTCCTTC